AATCTGAAGGTCGTGAGTTCGATCCTCACTCGGGGCACTTATTTTTTATAAAAATAACACTAAAATAATATTAGAGAAAATTCTCATAAAATCTAAATCATATGTATTCAAATGATCAGCAGTTTTGTTTTATAAAATTTTCTAGTTTTTGAATATTTTCATAGACAGATTTTTATTCTTACAGACATAAATATCTTAAGAGGTAGGCGGAGCATGGATATGACATTCATCCTTACATCCTTATTGTGTATATCGAGTATTCATACTATATATACAATTAAAAGACGAATGTCAATATAACCTATTGATCTTCATTCATTTTTTTCTAATAAATAAATAATTTATTATAAAATTCTATCTCAATAATTTATTTGAAAAAAATAAAAATAAAAATTTCACATAGGAAAAAAACCGGATTGTTCTATTAATAATGTTAATAATTTAGAAAAAATCGAGTATATTTTTAGATGTAAAATAAAATCTAATATCACTTAATTAAACAAGAAAAGATCACGTTTTAATCTCGTTATATAGAAGAGCATTTCGTATACGTCGTTGAGCTCGTATTTCTTCAAAAGCTGAAGATGTTCCAGTTGCTGTGCCACCCGAGCCTAATAAACCAGCAACAGCATTTGCATTTGTATCTTTATTGAGTAAACCTAAAGCTTGTTTCATTTTTGCTGCTTCACCAGGTTGAAACCATTGTTTTGGTATTAATGAAAGAAGAACACCAGCACATGAACATAAAATAGCTGAAATAACTAATGGAGAATAATTTACACCTAAGAAATAATGATCAATTACTAAAAAGAAAAAAGAAAAAACAAATTTAATTGAAAACTACTAAAATAAAAACAACTCTTACTAGCTACTGAAGGAATAACAAGTAGAAGAGAAGCTACACTTGGTAATGATGTATATTTAAATGGAATAATTATTATTAATACATTGAAAACTTTGAAAAGAAAAAGAAAAAGAAAGAAATAATTTGTTTTTTTCTAACAATGCAAGTTTACCAAGTGCACAAATTAATGTTATTATTGGAATAAATGAATAGAAATGTTTAATTATAATTGGTTCAATTTGTGTTACATGAAATAATAAAGCAAATGGCCAAAAAAGACATGTTCCACATAAACATACATTAATCATCACTATACGATATTTTGAGCTTTTAAAATCTTTAATAAAACTATTTATAAGAACCTATTTTTCGAAATAAATTATTTAAGAAAATTAATTCGAATAAAAAAAATTACATCAAATATTGTTTTCATTGAAACAGCACCGACAACCATTGTTAAACCAAGTAAAAATCTATTAAAACGAAATCCATCATTGTGAGCAAGAGAAAGTAAACCGGATAATGCAAGAATATGTGCTATTATCTATTCAAATAAAAGAAAATTTTATTCACTTTTCATTTTTCTTAAATTAGAACAAACTTTATTTCCAATAAATTCTTCCTGTAAAAAAATCCATCCAAGTACTTGTCGTAATGTTACTGTTATTGAATATACTATTATAATTTGACCGGGTACAAGAATTGTCATAGAACGAAATAATAAATAACACGAAAAATACCATAAAAAACATAATAAACATGTTTTTAATAAATAATCAACTAATGTATTATTTGATGAAGATTTTCTACCATCAAATATTCGACCAAATTCCCTAAAATATTTTTTATATTATTAACATCTTTTTACTTTATAAATCGGTTACGAAAAGATCAACAGGTTTCGAATTTATAAAATAACACAATATACACTTCATAATTATTTTCTCACTGATCTACACTATAATTTTCGAGTGGCATATTCGAAAAAAGAAACGTAGATAAAACACTACTATCGATCTTACATTAATAATATCTCATAAACGATTACTCTCGGGTCTTAAAAAAAACTATATACGGAATTCTTGGTTTTGTCTATTCATCTGGAATAAGTATAAATCCATTATTGTATAATGGATTTAACTCAAAATCCTTGAAAAAGACAGAATATCTTTTTTTATTTCTATATATATATTATTCTGTTTGTAACTTTGAATAAAAGATATAAATCATAGTTTTTGTTGTGCTCATTTGAATAATTTTTCTTTCTATTAAATCTAAATAGATAAATCATGGCTATTCATAGAAAAAAGTAGTTGATTTGAGGCTAAGATCATGAAGAAATGATTTGACACTTATAAACTTTCGTTAAAGTTATTCAACAAAGATTAATCTTAGAACTTTTAGTGATAAAAACAAAACTATTCCTATAGTCATTAATCTTCCTTCTTTCTCTATTTATCTGATTATTCTTTCTATATAATTCATTTTTTCCTATTAACAATAAAAGTAATACTAAGAATATTTTCTACCTTTTTGGTAACATAAAAAGTATCTATGAAAACAATCCGACATTTATTTGTAGATAAATCTAATTATTAAAGGAAGTTAATTGTATAGATATAATAATGGTCAATGTTATCTTGTCAATCATATTTCAAAGAATATCTTGATGGGAAAAGACAAAACGCATCGAGGTCGATTTTTGTCATAAAAACATTCTGAAAACAAGAGAATCTTTTTTTTTCTCGTTTTTGATGCTGTTTTTCTATGTATCTAATAGAAGAAAGGTAACGATGCGCAACATTTTTCTTCCGGTTTTCTTTTTCTTCGAACCAATGACGGATGTTCTGTCAACTAAGCTCATTTTCTACATTCAACGGATGTAAACTTTTAATGAACTCATTTAAAAGTTTTTTCTTTTTAACCTTAAAACTGACAAAAAAATTTAATCTTTTAGTTCATTAAAAAACATTCATTTTGTATAAATGATATTTTTACCTAAGAAAAGCTGCTCTCGCACGATCACGTTGTGAATGTTGTTCATAGAGAATTAAATGTATGAATAAACAAATAAAAAATAATAAAATATTAAAGAACCATACACATGCAAAAAATGAACGAATTCGAGAAGATTTTTCTGAAATTTTTTTTGTTTGATTTGTATTTAAAGTTAAATTAGAAATAATATTACGAGATAATGATGAATCATTTTTTTTATAATGAACAAGTGTTGTTGCTAATTCAATTGTAATTGTAAGGAGAAATGAAAAAATTATAGTTAAACTTATAATTAATATTGTATGTTTGATTTTTTCTGAACGTTTTATTTGATTTGTATTTGGTGATAATGTACGTGATTGATTTGGACTATGATTTGGACCTATTGTTTGAGATGCACGACGGGATGAAAGTAATCCATTCGGTAATATACTAGTTATTGGTGATGTAGATGAATGAGAACTTGTACTTAAACGTGGACCACGAAGATGTTGAGCTTGTGATTGCTGTTGCATCGATATAATTGAAAGATGGCCAGGTTGATATTTTTTTGTCTTTACTAACTTCTATAAAAATATAATTAGTCGTAATAGAGTTATTTTGCAATAAAACAGAAGAGAAGAAAAAAAGACAAAAATGACGTTTTCTTTTTCCTTTTCTTCTGCTTCTTCTTCTTTTCTCGTTTCGCTTGAGCTTTGCCTCATTTCTTTTTATTTGCGATGAAAATCTTTGACGGTTGTTAGAAGAATAACAATTACATTACAAGCAAAAAGTAGTTGTTAAAAATAATTTTTTTTCCTTTTTCACATCCAGAACATTTCTCTCTGTTTCATTGCTTTCTCAAGTAGTTCATATAGAAAAGATTTTAAGATATCCTCAAGATTGAATATTTAAAAAACAAAATAAATTAATCCGCTTTATATTTATACCTTCAAACCATATCATGCATATCAATCAGTATTAAAACAAAATAACAATTTAACATTTAATAATAATCTCAATTCTTACATAATTAATAATATAGATATAAAATGGACCATGAAATATTTCTTTTTGCAGAGTTGATATATAAAACTTAATTTAGAATTGTTCTTAAGGTTAGTCCCATGATCAATTGTACTCGTTAGATAAAAATTTCAACATATAAATGAACTAGTTTTGAAAATTTTCTCTCTCTATATATATGTAACATCATACTTAATTTCTTTAATGAAGAGATAATAAGATATTCCTATGAGAATATTATAAAAAATTCTTTTCTTCTCGAACATCATGAATAAAATTCATTAAAATATATTTGATTAATTTTATTTGTTTTTCTATATTTATAATTGATAAGAATTTTGTGATAATATAATAATCAAGGTTAAAGATGATATCTTTGCGTGTTATTAAAGAAACAAAATCTAATGGATCATTAATGAAACAAACTGAGATTTCTTTTAAAAGTTTTAATACTAAAAATAATCTGGCTTTTTGTCTAAAAAGAAAACTTACGGATGTCAAATTTTATAAGTGATCTTTTGGTAATGCCATAGAAAAGAGATGCATTTCTAGATGAGATAAAAATAGAAAATAGTATTTATCTATTTTTATAATTGAAAATTTTATTCAAAACCATAGAAAAATCAGTGGCGGATTTAGGGGGGGCGATGGGGGCGATCGCCCCCCCCCTTCCGAATTTTTTTTTGATTTTTTACAGCAAAAATGAACGAAAAAATAGGTTCACACTACTTCGGTTGGACTCAAAAAATAACTTTTAACCAAAATCGCCCCACCCCCAAGTATTGCCTCTCCATACTCAAAAAAATCCCCCACCCCCTCCCCCAGGTATCGCCCCTCCATGCTCAAAAAAAAAATCCCCCACCCCCTCCCCAAGTATCGTCCCTCCATACTCAAAAAAAAAAATTTCGCCCCCCCTTCCAAAATCCTAGATCCGCCACTGAGAAAAATAATTGATTATAATAAAATTATCTTATTTCAATTAATTTTTTCTATAAAATAATGTTTTATACATCATAAATATTATAATTAAAAAGTTCAAAGAACCTTTCTAATGAAATAATAAATTATTCATTCTCTAATGTTTTAGTCAAACAAAAATCTATTATAAATATTGTTGTTTTGTCATATATTTAAAAAGTTGTGCAATTCAGTATTTATCTCAATGAAGCTATCGGCAATTGAAATGTGTTTGATTGTCCAAGATCTAGTACAGTTAATTAAAATTGATAAATTCTCTTTGATTCAAAAAAAAAAGAATTAAAATGTTCTTCAAGTTCATTTATTTTATCTCATTTGACATCGTTATTACTTTTATCCTTGGTAAGATGAAGTCTCATCATTTTTTTTGTTGTTGACTCATTTTACATTCATTATATTTTGATGAATTATATTTTAACGAGACATTACATTATCCAATGAATGTATACGTCTCGTTTTATCATTTAATTATGCTACACAAACTATGGTAATTGCTTGACGAGACTTACAACAAAGGGACAAAAAAATCATCAGATAAGATTAGGGTCACAACGACCGAAGTCGAGCTGACATATCGTTTCTTTGTGTCTCTCCATTTTTTTTATAAGAGTGAAAGAAACAAAAAAAAAAAGAAGAAGAACCGTTAGTTTGATTCTATCGGCGTCATTCATTGCATAATATGCTAATTGAAGTCATCGTCGTCGTTCATCGTGTTCACAAGTCATTTCCATAATTTGAAAAAAATCTAACGACACATCGTCATATATTTATATATATCCAAACAAACGTACAATGATCTACATCAGATATTGTTTTTTGATTACTTTTGTAAGTTTTATTTGAAAATCGAATAGAATAAATAAAATCTTTTTCTTATTAAAGTATTTTACAATAATCAATTCTTCATCAATATTATTAAATCGTCTAAGAAAATCTAAAACAATTACAGTTCAATCAAAATTAAGTTCACCAATAGAAATAAATATTAATAAAAATTCGAATTTTAATTTAACATGTTCATTTTTATCAAATTTTCAAATAATCGATATATTTTGGCTTCATAATGGAACATTAATTCAATCATTTATTTCAAATGTAAGTTATTTTAAAGAAAAAAAAGGAAAAGTTTTATATTCTTTTTTTTTTTGTTAATTTAGAAAATTTTAGAAGAAGAAGATGATAATTCATTTCTTAGTGTTTCAATTATTTCAACAATTCAAATTGAGAAAATTCATTTTGATATCAATGGATTTTATCAATGTATTGCTGTACATCAAGATATTTATGCTAAACAAACATTTACTGTTCATATTAATACAAACGGTAAATAGAAAAAAAATTGAATAAAATTTAGATTTTTGTATTTTATTCAATATAGAAATAAATTCAATACCAATTCATTTTCCTACTGATGCATTTATTACTGGTAAGAAAAAAGAAATTTTTTAATGATATTTTTTTTTATATATGTATTTAATAGTTTATACATCACAAGCGTTATTTGAACCTCGAAATTATTTATCATTAATGTGTCGTATTGGTGATTATAAAAAAAAAGAATGCGAAATACAATGGTTTAATCCACATGATGATTTATTGAATATACTCGGTGAAAATACAGATTTAGTAATTCGAAATGCTACTTTTGAAGATAATATGGGTTTATATACTTGTCAAATTTGTTGTCACAATCAATGTCAAAAATTAACATCATTTATTTATCCAGTAAGAATTTACAGAAAAAATATTTCATTGATTTTCTTTACAAAAAATATTTTTTGTTTCTTAGGCTGCAGAAGATTAGAATATATATCGATTTAAAAGACTTTCTTCATTGTAAATATTTGTATGTTGATCCTTTTTTTTGTATTATTATCTTTTCTTTCTTATATACATATAACAAATAAAAAAAGAACAGCGTTAGAAGAGAACAAACAAACACAAGTGGTTATTGTTATTTAATAGAGGTTCATCAGGAAAATAAAGAACTTATTTATAGTATTATCAATTAACATTGAGGATGAGGATAATATATAATAGGATTGTTTTTTAAATGATTTTAAAATAAAAGTAATTATAGAAGAAAATTATCTCACCTCAATGTCATATGATAATGACACTTAGATGAATAGATTTTTGTAAATATAACTCTTACAACAATTTATTCTTTTTTATATTAAATAGCTAAGTTCAATCAGTTGAAATAAAAACAAATGTCGAAAACAATACTTTTAGATTAATAATGCAATAAGAATTTACCGAAGAAATTCTTCTTTTTTTGATAGAGTCTACTTCATGTTAACATGTTTTATATCATCAACAATACATTATATTTATTAAATATCTAGAAGAAATTTATTCTTTTTCATAAATATGAAAAATCATGAATAAAAATTGTATTTTGTACTTAATATCTCATTTAACGTTCAGTTAAGATATTCAATAAATGTTATGCTTATAAGACATAGTTCAACATGAATAAAACAAAATATTCAGAATTATTTTCTTTCTTATGATTTATTAAATAATAGTAAAGAGAAAGCAATTGAAAGATCACATGCTTGTTTTGTTGTAATTTAAGGATTTTCTTTTTGAAAGCCGTGAGTTTATATTCTCCATTATACAGATATTGCTTGATCAATGTTTCGTTTCAAAACTGACGGCTTTGATACAGAGCCCTCCTGAAAAACCGAGATAAAGGAGCGAAATCTTTTTAAAACTGAAGGGTGAGAATGAGTGAGAGTAGCATTCGTCAGGAGACTTGAGTAGTTGAATTCAACTTTCGAATTTGACAGTATTGAAATTCATGGAACAAATCGTCCATCTTTCTCAGATCATGTAAGTACCGGGGTAGATTTATTCTATTTGTATCAGAGTTGCTTCTAAATCTCTTGATTCAATTAAACATATTTATAAAATTTCATATCATAGTTAATTAGTTTTAGTTGGTTTCATATAATAAATTACTGGTTGAGTAAGTCAGTTGACAAATAATATATATATGATTAGTAAACATTCAGGAATAGAAAATATAAAATATTTTTGTTAGTTGAACGCATTTATTTGTAGGTGTTTGATTAGAACTAAATCTTTCGTATACAAAATAAAGGGTAAAACGAAAGACAAAAGGATGTGTCGGATCACAAACTCAAACAAATAGTAATGAAATATAAAGAACAAAAAGATAAACAAAAAAAATGAAAACGAATGGTCACTGGATTTAGCATATTCACGAAGTTTTACGATATTTCAAGAATGTGAAAAGACCAATTGAAGCTATAGCAGCACCACCTAATCCAATCAACAACCACCAATTCGTATTATCAGTCTAAAAAAAAGATAAACAATAATAAGAATAAATTTTATATAGAAAATAACTTCAAACCTTTTTATTATTTTTTGTTTGACCTTGTTGATTAGTTGTTGTTGTCGTTGGTTGTGGTTGAAACATACGTCGATAAATTTCTTTTTCATTTTTTTCATAATTAGCTAATTTATTTTCACAAGTTTTAAGCATTTCATTAACTTTAATATAATCATCTCCACCAAGTGGATTTCTTTGATGAGCTTGTAAAAATAATTTTAATGGTTGTTTAGCTTCTTTGTATTCTCCTAATTCAAAAAATGCTTTTCCTTTTCGAAATAAAGCTTTAACATTTGATGGATCAAGTCTAAGAACATTTTCTACAGCATGTAAACAATCTTCATATTTATTTAAAAGTAAATTAACTTGAGCAACATTATTTTGTACTTGAATATATTTCTCGGATAATACTGATAGATCATGATCTTCATGTGGTACGGATAATGGATTAGTTCTTGCATCTACAAAACGAAGAGCACCATGATAACAAAGAAGAGCTGCTTGATAATCTTGACGACGATAATTAAAATTTCCCATTTCTCGTTTTTTATTTCCCCAAAAAAGTCTTTCGGTAATTGATAATGTTTGAATATCAGGTGGACTTGTCCAATCATGAAATTCTAATTCAATTTTCATTTTATATGAATTAGTCGATGAATTAACGGGTGGAATTTGTTTTTCTGGACAACCCATTTGTCCATAACAATGTCGAATATCAGAATCAATTGTAGCATGTTCACCACGATTCATTGATTGAATACAAATATCAATAGCTGGAATAATATCACGTTCACTTATAAAAAAACTTTCATTTGAAATACTTTCAATTAAATGAACATCAAATGTTACATTATCAATTAATGATAATGTATAAGAAACTGTTGCTAATGTACTACGTGTTGGACGAGTATTTGGTGTACCTTCAACTGTTGTCTAAAGAAGAAAAATGTTTTGTTTTTGATTTTAAAATAATTTTTAAAGAAGAAATTTTACTTGTTTAAGTAAAGTTTTATTTCCAAGAATATCTTCGGGTTCTGATATTGTTATTTTATTAGTTGATAATAATGGTTGTTCATCGATTTTAATTGAATCATTCATTTGTTCGAATGCCATTGATGTTGAAGGTAAAGGTGAAATAGGTTCATTGATATTAGTATTTTCATGGTGAACAGTTAATTCTTCAAATTTTGGTTTTTCTAATTCAATTATTGGAGGAATAAAATCTTCATGAGTTTTTTCCGAAATTTCTGTTATATGATTAGATGATGATGATAATAAATTATTATTTTCAGAAGAATGTTCTTCTAAATCATGAATTTGTTCAAGTGCAATTGATGTTGAAATTAAAGGTGGGAGAATTTCTTCAATATTTTCTTTTTCTACGTCACTTGTTTGAGAAATTAAATCTTCATGATTTTCTTCAGGTGTTTCTTTTGGAGTATCAGGTGATAATAATATAATATTATTGTCAGATGAATCTTCATTGTCTGTTGATGAATTATTTATTTCATTATCTGGTGAATTTTGATCAGAAGATAATACAATTGGAGAATCTTCATTTCCATTTTCATTTTCATGATGATGTTCATATGGTGTTTCAAGTTCTGTTAATGGACGATCATCAGTTAAAATTGTTTCTGATTGTGTTGAAGTACGACTTTTTGGTGTTTCATCAATGGGTAATTCAGCTGGAGGAATTTCATCGTCATCCAATTCACGTTGGGCTCTAAAATTATATAATATAATTAGGAACAGATGTGAATGAAATATAGAATAGTTATCATAATCATATAGGCTTAACGTTACACAGTTGATCAAATTTCATTCTTTCTATTCGTTATTGACTTCATGGATCATATTTATATGACTTATTCTTTACTGAGAAACTATTGAGAATAAAGATCGTATCACTATTATTTTGATAATATAAAATTTGTCTTACTCTATTGAATACGCTATAAAAATCAGAAATAATTAATATTTCATAACTCAAAATTTTTCTAATCGTCGAAACATCAATAGTAATTTCTATTGATCTTTTCAAAATAAATTATCTATAACTGTATGGATTATATAAATAAATAAATAGTTAATTTACTTGAGTTCATCCGGTTTATCATGATGAAGATCTGTTTCTATATCAAAACTTGCATCAGTATTTAATGTATCATTATCATTTAATAATAAATTTGAATTATTTTGATTATCAATAACAATTGATTGATCAAAAGAATTTTGATTTAATGGATATAATTCTGGTTCAGTTGATAATTGTTGTTGAATTTGATCATCAGATTCTGCTGAATCTGTAGGAGATAAAATGTCTTGATTCGTTGATATTATATCTTCATTAATTTCTGTTTCATCGGAAGGATTTTCTATTGACTCATGCTTAGGTGATAAATCATCTTGTTGATTATTATCTCCATTTGGAATTGATTCATTATCTAAATCACTTCCATTAGACAATCTTCGTTCTTGAATATCCGGACTATTCTCGTCAGCCATTCGACGAGTTTATTAAGATAAAGAAAAAAAGAGAATCTAGAATAAATAATCTAATGAAAATACTTCATTCCTGAGAGAATAATTTGATGTTTGTTGGTTTCTTCGTATTTTTTTACAAAATTAAATAAAAAATCAAATATTTTACTTCGATGATCTTTGTGATAATGAATTATTTTTGTGATGTTTATGATTATAATCAGTTAATGTTAATTTTCTTTTTGATGATAAACATGGTGGATCATAATCTGTTCCAATATCATTTGTTGTACGTTTTTCTTCATCGATTGGAATTAATTTAAATCCTAAGATTGAAAATGTTTCACAAGATAAATCTTCATTTGTTAACATAGCTGAAGAAAGAATTTTTTTTAAAGCTAATTGAACTTGTTCATAACTAAAAAAAACAATAAGAAAATCTTTTATTTTAATATAAAAATTTAGAAAAGAAGATAAAACCGTTGATGAATATGATTTGTTTGTTGATCAATAAATAATTGTCTTTCAGCTAATCGTGCATGTTCACCTCGAATTTGATGAAGATGTTCTTTTAATAGATGATATTGTTTTATTAACATTGTTTGATGTGTTTGAAGAGTTTTTAATTGATTTTCCAGATCATTATTTTCTTGTTCAACTGAATTACAAATTGATTTTAATGATCGTTCACTTTCTTCATAAGTTCGAAGTGCTTGTTCAAGTATATTTTCTTGTTCAACTTTTTGTATTACAAATTTAAAAAATAAGATAAGATAAAAATGTCGATTTTACTATTGAGATAAATAAATTTACCTATCGATGAATGAGGAGAGTCCATTAGTCGTTTTAGTAGATGAAGAAAACAATCAGTTTATTACACTGCAGGCAAACTCTATCACCAACTTGTTCGTTGAAATATTTATAAAATATGGATTCGTCATTTCAACTAATTATTTCATTTTTTTAGAACGAAAAAAATCATTGTTTTTTATTTTGAAAATATTGTTAAAAGGATTTTTGTAGAAAAAATTAAAAATCTATTTAGAAATCGAATTTAACTCCATCTATTTTTTTCTAATAATAAATAGACCAATCTAATCATTTTGATTTTGTCAGTCATCGAGTTGAGGGTTTTGATTTCCATTGAAATGGATGGATACTTACGAAATATAGTTTTTCATTCAAAACAAGAAGAAAGAAAGAAATTTTATTTGATTTATTTTTTTCGCTTTTTAGATAAACATAAATCTCTTACATAAGATCGAAGATGATATTTAGCATTGCTACTAAGACTGGATCAAGATTATTTTCTGTAAATATTCTTTGTTGTTTTATTTATTTAAAAGACAAATCTATCTTTATTTAGAAATATGATTTACCAAATTCATCAATGAATAAAGAACGTTTATCATTCAGTGCAGCTGTATTAATGTCACTTGTTGGTCTTGGTCTATCAGTCTTCAGTACAAATAAATTATTTCTTGCTTCTTCATCTACACGATCTATGTTAACCAAATCCCAATAAAATCTTGATTTTTATCAAGAAAAAAAATATTTCTCTTTTTCTGTTTGGAATTTTTTTAACCTTTAGATATAAAGAGAGATATTGTTTAGTATGAAAAAA